CCACTCCACATTTACCCCCTCTCCTCCAAAACGAAGACGTCATTACCCCCTCCACTGTTATCCGATACCCCTCTTCCCCTCTTCACCCGCGCACCCCCTCATTGCCCCATGGGTTAGAATCATCATAGTATAACTACTTCAGTGTAGTGCATTACCACTACAAACAAATACGTGCACACGGACTTATGCCGATAATGTCGCATTCATTTTTAGTTCCATCGAAATGATGGCGCTATCCCGTCGGAGTTCGACTTTCACTCCAGCATCCTCTTAAGACTAGAATAAATCACGATGTGGAGCTTTCAGAAGAAAGTGACGTTGGAATGGATAGTGTTGATGACAGTGACAATGAATCAAATGAAATTCTTACAGTACGATTAGCAAATTTAGATGGAATTTGGGAAAAAAAATCAAGATCAAAAGATGACACCCCTTTCACTAAAAATTCTGGTCCAAATATTCCGGATTCAGCCAAAACTCCGTTGGATATTTTTTTGTGTTTATTACCTAATGAATTTATAGAGTTGATTGTTCATCAAACTAATCTTTATAGTGCTCAAATAGAGAAGAAGCCGTTCAATGTTGTTACAAAGGATGAAATATTGAAATTCTTAGGTTTGAACATTTTTATGGGTGTAAAGAAACTGCCATCCTATCGTGATTTTTGGTCAAGAAATAAACTGCTCCATGACACATATGTCTCAAACGTAATGACTGTCATCCGCTTTGGATACTTATTATCTCATTTTTACCTAAACGACAATTCAAATGAACCAAAAGAAGGGGCAGCCAGGATTTGATAAGTTATATAAAAATCAGACCTTTACTCGATAAACTATCTGAGACTTTCAAAAACCTGCTACAAACCAAATCAGTACCAATCAATCGACGAAAGTATGATTTGTTTCAAAGGAAGAAGTTACATTGAAACAATACATGCCGATGAAGCCCATAAAACGTGGCTATAAGGTTTGGGTACGTGCAGATGAAAGTGCTTTTGTGTGCGAGTTTCAGGTTTACGTAGGAAAATCAGATAATAATCAGTCGGAGAAGTCATTAGGATCAAAGGTGGTGAAAGATCTAACTCGAACAATTGTCGGAGATAATCACCAAGTATTCTTCGATAATTTTTTTACCAGTACTGAACTTATGATTTCCTTGAAGACTGAAAATATTATGGCATGTGGAACTGTAAGGAGCAACAGAGTCGGTTTACCCAAGACACAAAAAAAAGATAAGAATATGGTAAGAGATGAGCATGAATTTCGTAGTTCGTACAAGGGTCTTGCGTGGCTAAAATGGAAAGACAATCGAGTAGTGTCACTTCTATCGAATTTTCATGATCCTTCAGTTACGATAGATGTCAATCGACGAATGAAAGATGGTTCGACAAAAATTATAAGCTGTCCTGAAATGGTAAAGGAATATAATAAGCACATGGGCTATGTCGATAAGGCGGATATGTTGAAATCCTTATACGAAGTTGATAGAAAGTCAAAGAAATGGTGACTGCGAATAGTTTGGCACTTTCTTGATGTTTGCGTGACAAACGCTTTTATCATTTACAAACAAAGTAGCAGTGCAAACAATCTATCGCTAAAAAAATTCAGACTTGCGCTCGTGGATGGATTGATTGGTGGAAGTGTTCCTACGAAAAAGGCAGGAAACGTTCTTCCGTTGACTGTGCTCAGACATGTAAGCCACAGGTGTCCCTCCAAAAGAGACATGCTTCTGCGGCTCACATGCCTTAAATGATCGAGGAAAAGAAATCGAGACGTTGCACTTGTTACGTCCTGATCAGACTTCACGATTCTTTTCTTTTTATTAAATACCAGATCTAGTAAACACGGGACCAATAAAAACTCTTAAAGAATATTATAACGCCAGAGCTGTTTTTCTCACGAGACACCATGAGCTCGAACTTTCTCACAGAGAAAAATAGCAAGGGGGATAGATATTTGAAAATACTTTAGTCGGTCAGCGTGCCTATCGTCGTCAGAAAAATCATAAAAGTCAAAACTTGCGGTAACCGGAGTCCTTAGTCGACTCCAGATGTTTAAAGTAAGAAATAAAAACTGGCACCAGCTAGCCATATATTTAGATTCCGCCTACGGGAACCCTAGTAGATAAGGTTTTACCGAGTGACGATCGGGCAATGACCACAGTCGCACGCCTAGAAGGCATGACACCTGATACGATGCACGTGTTCAGTAGGTCTGGGAAACCGAGATGCATTAATTGCACTCTCCACGCGACTCCAGGGCCACGCGACAGTCGTAAACTGTCAAATTTATTAGATCAGTGACCCAAGGTCTCGCGAAATCATATACCGATTCTCAACCCTCCAATCCGAAAGCCGGAAATCGGGGCAAGCACCTCTATAGACCACCCTTCGTTCCTTCGATCGGTTTAAAGACTACGCCCACCTAGATTTTAAGGGGATCCTAAAGTCGTCCTGTATTATCGACCGAATTTGTAATATTTTCCTGCACACTAATCTTTTTTTTGGTTCTATAGAATTAGATATCCTTTTCCAGGATTAAAGTATACACATTAATACAATCTGCAAGGTATACCTTATAAGCAAAGAAAGAAAAAAATTTATAATGTATATCTCGATTTACTAAATTCTTAATTTAATATAAAATTATGCAGTTTGTACATACAAAACAGAGCTTGCAGATACTAGATGATACAGAAGAATCACATAAAACCTTTAGAATTAAGTTTAGGAATGTAATATAAAAGATTAGTATGCACGAAAATTTATTGATAGTTGTGGAGGTTAGATGGATGCAAATGAAGATAATAGGATAAAACAGAGCAAAAAATCAGTTCAGGGATATAACTATAGAGGCGTCATACTATATTTGTTTCTGTTTTATCTCGTTTTTACTGATTTCTGATTTCTTTTATAATTAATTTTTTTTTCTTTTTTCGCTTAAAATTTATACTTTGCAGATTATATTAATATATATACTTTATTCTTGGAAAAGGATATATAATTTTGTATTACCAAAAAAAAGATTACTGTGTTAGAAGTTTTGTTGATGACACAGTCGGAGTACACTTATTCTTTCGCATTTTTTCCATTTTTTTGCTCTCCCCTACTTACTTTTTTTTCCATCAATAATATTTTAAAATTATAAAAAACAATACAGGCAGTAATAAATTGTCAATACGTGTGCAAAAATAATATAACGATATATCTTATGATCTCGAAAGATGAGAAGAGAAGAAAGAAAGAAAGGAGGACGAGAGAGAGAGAGAGAGAGAGAGAGAGAGAGAGAGAGAGAGAGAGAGAGAGAGAGAGAGAGAGAGAGAGAGAGAGAGAGAGAGAGAGAGAGAGAGAGAGAGAGAGAGAGAGAGAGAGAGAGAGAGAGAGAAGAATAAAAAAATTGTTACAACTCTTGCTATTACAAAAGATGGTAATAGAAAGGATAGGAATAAAATTTATTTTTTGGTAGTACGATTGTTTTTATTCTTTTTATAACCATAATTTTTATAATTTATTTATTCTAATAATAAAATTAATTGTGATATTTATTTAGATAATTTATTAATATAAGTCTCAAAATTTATAAATTACAAAATCATAAGTATCGTACATGTATTATGTATTAGAATACAGCAATATACATCATATAAACTAAGTAAAAAACACAAATTACTGTTTTTACTGCGAATACAAAACCTTTATAAAAATAAATCATACTTATTACATTGCACTATTATGTGTATCACATTTTACAAAAAAAAAAAAATTTTGGACACAGTAAATTGTGGAAAAAGCACAATGTGAAAAGCAAATTAAAAACCAAAAGAAAAGTATTACAAAATTTTTAACAAGACTGCGGCAAATTGAAGAAAAAAAAAGCAGATCTATTTTAAACTAACATAAATGCACATAAATTGTGCAAAAACCGCAAGATTAATTGTGAAAAATTGTGAAAAATAAAGAAACACATAGCAAAATATAACATCTGGATATGTTGGTACCAATCTATATGCCACCACTCATATATCATTTTGCAGCAAAGTCATAATACAAAAAACTTTTTTCATAATACTTTTATCTATAATACGGATATGGAGGATAAGAGGGATATGAATTTGGAATATAAGATGACTGATTGTGAGTCGATGGTGATATATATACAGGGTGAGGCAAAAGTATGGAAACCCCCGAATAAGTTTTGAGGAAGGCATTTTACGAAAAAATGTTAAATACAAAAGTTTTAGGAAATTTCTCTGGCTTTTCAATGGTGACCTTGGATTTGACCTTGACCGTGACCTTGAAGGTCATATGAAGGTCAAGTCCATTTTTTATAATAGGAACCCCCATTTTTCATCGTAGATTCAGAAAGAGCGGAAAATTTTACATCGGAATATGACCTTGACTGTGACCTTGAAAGTCATATGAAGGTCAAGTCTATTTTTTTAAATAGGAACCCCCATTTTTCATCGTAGATTCAGAAAGAGCGGAAAATTTTACATCGGAATATGACCTTGACCGTGACCTTGAAGGTCTAGGTCTAGGTCTAGGTGTAGGTCTAGGAGTAGGCCTACTGGGGAAACCACTTGAAAAAAAACGCGTCAGCAATAGTACCTCATGGGTGACGTGGAAATCTATTGAAATATTTTCACTTAATAAATTTAAAAATAAAAAATTTATTTTTAATAAATTTTAATAAATTTTTTAAATTTTAATAAATAGGGAGAAGAACCCACTCATAATCGGATTGTGCCGCTCCTAACGCTCGGCGGCGCTGGCCCTAGCGGTTGCGGCGCGCGCGGTAAGGAGAGGAAAGGAGGCGTATACCACGGAAATCGGCTGAAATGTTCAGACTAATTCCGAGCACTGAGATAAACCATGCACACATTGAGCTCGATCTGATTTCACTACTCATAAATGAAGTGATTGACGATAACATAAACATGTTGATCGACACAGGAGCTACCATGAATCTAATAAAATTAAATAAATTGAAAGATGAAACCATAATATACGATAAAAAGATAACAATCATTGGCACAACAGGACACAAAGCAAATACTATAGGCGTAATGCAAGCAACTATTCCATTAAAAACAAGAGATGTTAAACACGAATTAAACGTGATAAAAGACGACTTTCCTATTAAATATTACGGAATCCTCGGAGCCGACTTCTTACAAAAATATCAAGCATCTTGGGATTATACTACTAAAAAACTACGCATCGATAAAAATTTATTTACGCTTTTCCCATGCAAAAAATTTACTTTAGAAGCTAGAAGCGAAACTATTATAACAGCCATAACTAAAGAAAACACAGCAGAAATAATCCAAGCAGTGGAAACTAGACCAGGAATATTTATCGAAAATTGCCTAGTCAAGCCAAAAAATAATAGTTGTCCGATTAGCATAATAAATACTACCGAAACTAAAATAGAAATGCAAGCTCCAGTAGTAGAAATTGAAGAAGTAAAGACAGAAGGAAATACCGAGATATTAATAGCTCAAACGTATATACCAAAGGAAATTCCCTTGTCACGCAACGAATTAAAGAGGCGCTTCGTCTTGATCACTTAAATAACGAAGAGCGAAAAACCTTACTTAAAATCTGCGAAGATTTTGATGATGTATAATATTTCATCTAGAAGGAGAACCACTGACAGCTACCGCGGCCACGAAACATGAGATAGCGATGCGTGCCGATTCAGCACCGGTTAACACTCGACCTTATCGCTTGCCCGAGAAACATAAGACAGAGGTAAATCGACAAGTGCAGGAAATGCTAAAAAATAAAATTATTCAGCCGAGCAATAGCCAATGGACTGCTCCATTGCTAGTGGTGCCAAAAAAGACAGACGCTTCAGGAAAGGCAAAATTACGTGTAGTCGTAGATTTCCGGAAACTAAACGATCTAACAATCGGAGATTCATTACCATTACCTAATATTACGGATATACTCGATCAATTAGGAAATTCGAAATATTTTTTGGCGTTAGACTTAGCGTCAGGGTATCACCAAATACCAATGGCCGGCAAAGATAAAGAGAAAACTGCATTCTCTACGCCACATGGGCACTATGAATTTAATAGAATGCCCTTTGGATTAAAAAACGCGCACGCAACTTTTCAACGCCTAATGAATACAGTTCTAACAGGTGTACAAGGAATAAAGTGCCTAGTATATCTCGGTGACATAGTGATATACGGAGCCAGTCTCCAAGAGCACAACCGTAGATTAGAAGATGTGTTGCGAAGAATACGAACCAACAATCTCAAATTACAACCCGATAAATGCGAGTTTCTTAGGAAGGAAGTTACTTATCTTGGGCACGTAATAACAGAAGACGGGATCATGCCCGATCCAAAAAAATTAAAGGCGGTAAAAAATTTTCCGGTACCGCGGAAAGTAAAAGACATACAATTTTTTATCGGACTCGCGGGATATTATCAAAGATTTATTGAAGATTTTCTAAGATCGCTAAACCGCTAACCAAATTAACGAAAAAAGAAAT